CTCGTGCATCTTCGGAAGCGGAGCTGCGCGGAAAGTTACAAAAGCTTTTGCGCACACCGCCACGCGAAACGACGTCGCGCGCACTCAAAGCGAACTTCCGGCAACACCGCGAAGACGTCATATTTGCCGCGCGCACTTAAGCGAACTTGAGGACGCGTCGAGTATAAATCAGCCTTAAAAGTGTCATTTCTTCAGTGTTGTCACATGAAAAGATATAATAAAATATTTACAAAAATGTGAGGGGTGTACTCACTTTTGTGAGATACTGTATATAAATATAAATTATATTTATTATAATTTTTACCGTACATTTTTGCCATAGTCACCACTGATAAGCTACTACTAAATATATTGTAGAAACTTAATTTCCTGTAAAGCTGCTTTGCAACGATTTGTATCGTGAAAAGCGCTATACAAATAAAGTTGAATTGAATATAATAAAATTATTAAATATTAAATTTTAATTTAATCTTAAATGCATTCCATCATATACAGTGGACGAGTGAGAAAAGCTGCATTATAACGTCAGCTGTAAAGTTTCTCTGAATAACGCAGATATACCTGCATGTACAGCTGGCTAATGAGAGGTCTGTAAGCTGGGTCTTGGGAGTTTATTGTGAGAACTGGTGAGAATGACACACTTGGCCTTGCTTGAGGATCGGGCGAGTATGCCAAAAAATTAATTTTGAGGGAAAAAAAATTTTTCTTAACATTGTTCTGATGTTTGTGCTTTATGCAATCCTCGTGTACGCGGCCGCTCGTTTAGAATACTCAACAATGTTAAGAATAAATTAATGTACGAATGTGTTGTGAATTAGGAGGAGATTTTTCGTGAGAAGTTAACCTGTGCGTACAAATACAAATCAATCTATGCAATTATTAGTGAATGAGACTGTGACGAGTGGGGCCGGGGCCAGTGGAGTAATTGATAATGAGCGACACCTGCACCACTCACCCGTCTCTCGTCTTTCACTGTCGTAACTCCTCCTTTTACCCTTCCGGAGCTCCTCCGTGGGACTCGAGACCGGTGAGTGGTGCAGGTGTCGCTCATTATCAATTACTCCACCGGCCTCACTCCGTTCCCACGGCTCTCGGCCCCGCCCCCACTCGTCACAGAGACCCAATGTTTCTGTCAAAATTCACTTTAAATGTAATAATTAATTCCCTTTAAGTAAAATTTACTGGTTTCCCTTCCAACAAAGAAAAAAGCAGTAAATGGAATTGGTAAAAATTTCCCAGAATGCTTTGTTTTTTACGGTATGGTATAATTTTAATGGAAAACAGTATGTTACTGTCACTTTTTACAGTGTGAGGTTAACATGTATTTATTTTTATTTTTCCCACTGTAGACCTATTGTCATTGAAAGAGGAGAGACAAGAATTGGATGAAATCGAGGAGAAGGATCAGTATGTGGAACGTAGTAATTCTATAACTAGAAAAAAATCCATAAAGACTAAAAAGACTTCATCACGAAAAAGAGCCCAGAAGACCAAATCTAACACCTGCCATCAGTGTGTAAAGAGTTGCTGTGGAAAAAAAGTCCTTGATGAACACATGAGAATTCACACTGGAGAGAAGCCTTTCACCTGCCCTCAGTGTGGAAAGAGTTTCCGTCACAAAGGTAACTTTATAAGCCACGTGAGAATCCACACGGGAGAGAAGCCGTTCACCTGCCAACAGTGTGGAAAGAGTTTCCGTCACAAAGGTAACTTTATAAGCCACATGAGAATCCACACTGGAGAGAAGCCTTTCACCTGCCAACAGTGTGCAAAGAGTTTCAGTCAAAGCGGGCACCTCATAACCCATATGAGAGTTCACACTGGAGAGAAGCCTTTTACCTGCCAACAGTGTGGAAAACATTTCACTCAAAAGTGGAGCTTTTTAAAACACATGAGAATTCACACTGGAGAGAAGCCTTTCACCTGCCAACAGTGTGGAAAACATTTCACTCAGAAGTGGAGCTTTTTAAAACACACGAGAATTCACACTGGAGAAAAGCCATTCACATGTGATCAGTGTGGAAAGAGTTTTGCACTAAAAGAAACCCTAAATTCTCACATGAAAAATCACTCCGGAGAGAATGGCTATATATGTGATCAGTGTGGAAAGAGTTTCAGTCATAAAGTAAGCTTCAAGACTCACATGAGAGTTCATACTGGAGAGAAGCCTTACGCATGCTCTCAGTGTGTTAAGAGTTTCAGTCACAACGGGAACCTTACAAAGCACATGAGAATTCACACTGGAGAGAAACCTTACAACTGCAAACTGTGTGGGAAGAGCTTCTCACGACAAGGATCTCTTAAGAGTCACATGGTCGTTCACACTGGAGAGAAGCCGTTCACGTGTGATCGGTGTGGAAAGAGTTTCGGACGTAAAGTAAACCTTAATCAACATGTGAAGATTCACTTCAAGAGAACTGTTTTAGATGTTGTCAATATGGAATAATTTTCACAGACAGTAAAACCTTATGCATCATGTAATAACTGGAGAGAAGTGTGCCATCACTAGCTGCGTTTTACCCAAATAATCCATTAGTAATCCATGAAAAGCCGTAAACACCTCAATCAGTCTGACTAAGCTCGATCCAAATGCAATTTCGATTGGATTGAAGGGGGGCTATATAGACCTGAATTAATTTGATCCGTACACAGCAAAATCATTACTGTTATATTTCCAAAGACAGTGTAAAATACACCGTGTTGCTGTTATTTTAACATTATAAGTGTATAAAATAGCACTGCTGGTGTTATCTACATCTTGGTGACAGTGTTAAATCACAGTGTTAAAGATGTTCGTTTTTAATTAACCCAAACTGGTGTATATAACTGCAACTCCTCCAGGTGTTTAACAGAACCATCATTTTCTCTTACAAGAAGAAAATCAGTAAAAATAATGATCTTTAAAATAGCATCATATGACCCCTTTAAGCAGCCCTTAATGTCGATCATGGATCAAATCGTTCCACCAAAATATATTTGTGCTGTTTAATGCATTTGAGATGTTGTGTTTTCCTCAGTGCATAACTGACATGTCACAAGTATATTTTTCCTCTGTAAATGTTAGAAAGTTATGCAAATATATCCATTTTGCTGCATATTCCATGCTGCTGTGCACATGCACGCTAAACAGACGGAGCGCAATCATTCTGAGTCAAATATGCGTTTTGCTAAAATATTTGTTGTTAATGTATGGTTGTATGTTATATGTAGATATGTGTATATCTATTATTTATAGTATATTACTATATTTATGTTATTGTTACTTTCTGTTTGACCTTAGATGAACCAAATAAAAGCTTCTAAAAAAAAACATTCGTTGTTGGACATTAAATGTGCCTTTTGTAGAATTTTAAACCTACATATAGGTGTATTCTTATGATAGCAGTAACTGTAAAGGGAATCGCCAATAGGGATTTCGCCTAGGGCGTCAAATTGGCTAGAAACGGCCCTGACCAATACATACATCAACAGCTTCCAGCTACATATTTGGGATCAGCTCCTGATGATGAAGCTGCGTCTTAATTTATTGCAGGGTGATCTTGCTGAAAGGTTTGGTGTTTCTCAGTCCATCGTAAGCAAGGTGATTTCGTGTTGGCTTGTCATCATGGAGGAGAACATGAGGGATTGCATACCATGGCTTCCCAGGGAGACAATCCAGGCAACAATGCCTCACTGTTTATGAGAACAATTCCCAAATACAACATGTGTGATTGACTGTTCAGAGACACCCCTTCAAAAGCCATGCAACCTTGACTCCAGAGGCGAGTCCTACAGCCATTACCAGTGTTGGGCAGTAATGCATTACTTAGTAACGTGTTACTCTAATTTGATTACTTTTTTAGCAATGGAGTAATTTAACACGTTATAATTTCCAAAATAGTAATTAGATTATAGTTCCAAGCTGAGGTCTCTGTGCGTTACTGCTGTGTCACATCATTTCCGCCAGAAGGCAGTGTTGTATCATTTAGGCCATGTCCACATGTACACGGGTATTTTTTATAAATTTTATAGTTTTTCCTCCTTCCGTTTTTAAAAAAATCAACGTCCACATGAAAACGCAAACGCATGCTATGAAGCACTGTCAAGAGCATGCCAAGCCAACCAGTGGCGATATAATCTCAACTGTAAAGCCATGTTGGCCAATCAGAAGCCTGAAAAAGTTTCCAGTAGGCGGAGATAACAGC